GGTGATAAAAGCTCTTTTCCCATAAAGCTTAATGAGCTCTATTAGTCTTCAGCTTACAGGAATGTAAAAGGGTCAGCCCCACAGAGGGAAGTAACTGACTCTCCACACATGGTCCATTCAAATGACAACATATCAAATTACTGATGTAATTACAACAACTTGACAATTTCATTAGATTCATGTGGCAGTTAACTGTTTAGGACTTACAACAAAGGGACATGGCTCATTCATAGTAATCATTGTGGAGAAAGTGAAGTTTAAAGTCAGCTTTCAACTGCAAGTCTCGTGTATTTTATTGTCTCTGCCAGAATAATTTGACTTTTATTCAAAATTAAAGAAGGTACAGGGTACAGACCATATTTGTAATTTTCCTTCTCCAGCTAAATCATAAGCTTATTGGCAAAATTAAACATTTAGAGACTCCCAACACTCTCCTGCCTTGGCTTTGCCTTGGCTCTCCGGCGCTATGTGGTGGCAAAGGAACAACAGCCCCCGACTGGTGTTGCTGGTGGAGACTCCGGGGCAGCTTGCCACTTAACTAAGCCCTCAAGTGGCCCCTGTGGAATTCCAAACTAGAAAATACCAACAGAAAGCCTTCAATGTATTTCCCATCAAGAAAAGTGACTTACATTGGTCATCTTTAATTTTGATTTCTCTTCCTCTCCAATGTCATAAACCCAGTAATAAAAAAGACAATTTAGCCAAGGTAAAACATCACTCCAGATCACTAAGTGATGGAAGCAGACAGAAAAGGACAGAAACTAGCATTAAACTCTGGATAGGATACTTTCCCTTCTAATTTTCACCAAAGATTGAAGCTTCCTTACACATATTCCCAATACTTAACCAGAGTAGTAATATGTAATTTAAAAGTATATATTTGTGGCTAGGTGTCGTGACTCACACCTGTAATCCCAGCACTTTGGGAGGATGAGCCGAGCGAATCACTTCAGGTCAGGAGTTCGAGACCAGCCTGGCCAACGTGGCAAAACCTGTCACTACTAAAAATACAAAAATTAGCCGGGCATGGTGGCAGGCACCTGTTATCCCAGCTACTTCGGAGGCTGAGGCAAGAGAATCATTTCAATTGGAAGGTGGAGGTTGCAGTAAGCTGAGAAAGTGCCACCACACTCCAGCCTGGGTGACAGAGCGAAACTCAGTCTCAAAAATATGTGTGTGTGTGTGTGTGTGTGTGTGTGCACGTGCGCGCGTGTGTGCATGTATTTTCATATACTCTACATCAGGCATCCCGAAACTTTTTACACAGGGGGCCAGTTCACTGTCCCTCAGACCATTGGAGGGCCACCACATATTGTGCTCCTCTCACTGACCACCAGTGAAAGAGGTGCCCCTTCCTGAAGTGCGGCGGGGGGGCCGGATAAATGGCCTCAGGGGGCCGCATGTGGCCCGCGGTCCGTAGTTTGGGGACGCCTGCTCTATATACTCTAGGTGCAGCTAATGTACTCTAGGTACACTCTGAGCCCTATCTATAACCAAGAGCATCCAAAGATTAAAAAGGACAAAGCTCTCAATCTTAAGTAGCTACAATCTAACTGGGAAGACAGACTGTTAACCATACTAAAATATAAATATTGGTCCCCTGCCCGTGACTAAGGTGAAACACATGAAAAAAAAAAAAGAAAAAAATATATAAATATTGGAACTTGTCTACTTTTAGCTGAAACCTGCCAAATTACGGATAAAAGACTGCTACTCTCAGTGTCAGCCCCACCAAATTCATTCATTCATCTGACAAATATTTACTGACTCAGTGCCTGCTGAACCGTAGATTCCATCAGCGATAGTAAAAGCGGCCTCAAAGTATTCTGAGATTTGTAGGACTATGTTCTACTCACACGAAGAATGGGAACACAAGAAAAACAGAGTCCTCTCTCAATGAGCTTACATTTGAGAGACGTCAACTGGTAAGATTTACTGAGAAGCATCTTTGTCACTCGTTAGTAACAGTCTCAAATTGCTACTTGCCCCAGTAAAGTGAACATCAAGCTCAAGCCTCCTTATTTGGTCCCTGTGTAGGGAAGCTAACCCAGCCCAGCTGCCTTCTGCTAAGAACCCTTATTCCTGTTCATTCCTCTAAGCTTTTGCTAAAATGAGAGTCCAGCGTTACACATTATCCACATGATCTCATCTAAGTGCCTGCCAGCCCCTTTTTTCCAAGGCTAGACATTGTTTCCACGTCAAATCAAAGAGACTCCCCTGATGTACACCTGTTAAACACTGACTACAAGAAGCATTACCAAAAAGCTCCCAAGGCACCTCTATCCACTGTGGGCCCTTTACTGGAGAGTAAAGGACAAAACAACTTAACACTTTGTAGTTGTTAACAATTTGTGCATCTCCTTTCTACTTTTCCGTGCACTGGAATTGTTTTTAAACTGAGATCTGCATGTATAATTTTGCATCCTGCTTTTACCTGTCAGTATATCAAATCTGTTTCAGATGTTACTTATCAATATATACTCATGAGCACATATTCACAATCTCTATTTTAATGGCTGTAGGATGTTCTATCATACGGCTGTGTCATAATTTATTTGACCTGTTCCACATTTAGATTGTTTACAATTTTTAACCATTATAAATAATGCTGTAATAAACATTTTCATGCATGTTTTGTCCTCATCTTTGATTACCTCTCTGACAGTGATTCTTGGAATAAAATTACTCAACCACAGGTATGAACGTATACAAAACCTTTAACGTATGTGACCAAACTGCTTCCTATAAAGGATGAAGTTTATAAACAGCCCATCTTATTATATCTTGTCAAGCATTCACTTAGAAAATAAGATACCGGGCCGGGCGCGGTGGCTCAAGCCTGTAATCCCAGCACTTTGGGAGGCCGAGGCGGGTGGATCACGAGGTCAAGAGATCGAGACCATCCTAGTCAACATGGTGAAACCCCGTCTCTACTAAAAATACAAAAAATTAGCTGGGCATGGTGGCACGTGCCTGTAATCCCAGCTACTCCGGAGGCTGAGGCAGGAGAATTGCCTGAACCCAGGAGGCGGAGATTGCGGTGAGCCGAGATCGCGCCATTGCACTCCAGCCTGGGTAACAAGAGAGAAACTCCGTCTCAAAAAAAAAAAAAAGAAAAGAAAATAAGATATCGTGATAGGATCCAAAAAATTGTAGTTCATTGTCATTTTAAACTGCATTTATTACTAATAGGATTATCATTTAAAACAAATTTATTACCATTTGCATTTTATCTTGTCAATTACCTGATAAAAATCCAACCAAATTTTATGTAAAAGAAATTAGTATTTTTAATTGATTCTAAAAGATCATTACATTAAGTATAACCCTTTCATCATACTTTACCCAAGTTGCCTTTTAGCTCTATTTGTTTTCATGTGCAAAAGTATGGATCTTTACATAATCTAATTAATTTTTCACGCTTTGTTTTTTGATACTTTCCATTGCTTTTGAAGTTAGAAAGTGCTTCCATAACTATAGAGCAGGCTATAAAACTTATATTGTCTTCAACTTTGTTATGGTTTGGTTTTCACTTTATGCCTAACCCTTAATTAAAATTCTATCTGCCAGGCACTGTGCTCAGTGTTTGCCGTAGGTCACCTCATCTAACTTTCAATATCCATTTTAGTATTATTATCTCCATTTTTAGATTTAAAAAAGAGCTCAGGAGTCAAATGGCTCACCCATGGGCTGCTTGGGCCTCTCTCATTTCAAAGCCCAGGCTCTTTCCACTGTATCGCTCTGCTTTCCCCTTGATCCTGGATACCTAGACAATGTGACCAAACCTGGATGGGACAACCCTATCTGGTCTGATCCACTGCTCCTGGTGACCACTCAAGCTGGCTACCACACATTGTGCGATGTGCCCGTGTGGGCCACACCACATTATCAGCAGTAATAGTTTCAATAACCAAATAAACAATAAGTTATAAAAGCAGAAATGGTCTCAGAAAGGACACAGAATTGAGTCTCAACCCCAAAGAGGAGTATGATTTGAACAAGCTGGGAATAGGGAAAGCATAAAATGAAATAAACAATAAGCAAAAAGGGAAGGACAAATGAAAGGCAAGGACCAGAGTCTCATCACGTAGGGCTGAAGTCTAAGAAAAAACAAAATACTGCCATGATGTGCCTAGCAGAGTTTATACCTGCTCCCATTTCCATTACTTTATTTGAGAGGTAGGAATTATTATTTACATTTAAAAGATCAAAAAAATGAGGCTCAAGGAAGTTGAAGCTGTGATTTACCCAATGTCATATGGATAGTAAGTAAAGGCAGCTCTCACCCAGCTTTGGTTCTAAGTCCCATCACCTCTTCACATATTCTGCTTCCACCGTTTCTCTACTTCCTTTTCCAAGTCTCAATGATCATCTACAAGTTTTTCTGCAACTGCAGCTCATAATGATATCTAGGTCTCTAAACATCTAATAGTTTGTCCTCATCTCTCAAAATTTTATCACTGGATTCTCAGTTCTATACTGAAAACCATGATAAGGATTAAATAAAAAAGTGAATGAAGAACCCAGAACATTGCCTTGTTATAACACAAGCTTAATAACTTTGCTCTTTCTATCAATTCACGTATTTTCAATTGGTCTCTCTAACTGAAACTTCCTTGAAGACCTCTGATTTTTCCAGCTCTCTTTTAGTATCATGGCAGTTTATAGAACATAAGGTGGCAGTTAAATAAACATTCATGGGAGTGATGAAGACACAACAAGGCTCTTTCAAATGAAGGACCAATTTCTATTTATTGAAAAAGAATACTTAAAAAGAGGAAATAACCTGTCATGAAGGTGAATTGCTATTAATATAACTTCTAGAAACTTTGATCCAAAAAAAAAAACCTACAGTAATTCACCCCATACCGTTACTGAAGAATAAATGTGTCACACCAAAATGACCACTCCTATAATTATCAAATAAATGCCTAATGAAAGGTATCAGTAATGGTTTTCAACTACCAATTCTAATATTAAGGTCAGTGAGTAACTCTTACCTCTAAAGGTGAAGTGCAGAGGAATCTTGTGAACTGTGGAGTCAAATTTGAACAGAATCCATTTCATCCAGCGAACAGATAGCAAAAAGGAACACAGAGAAAAGGAAAAAATTATTACACAATTTTCCAGTAAATGCACTTAAAGTGAACCTAAAGATTTATTAGAGGAAATTAATGTGTCCATACAATTCATCCAGAATATAGAAAGGTTCAACCTACCCCATAGGAGGTACCTATTTGAATTCCTTTCAATAAACATTCTTAAAAATCTGCATAAAAGCACATATAGCACAGATCAGTCCTAAAAAAAATGTTTTATCTCACACTCCTACATAATAAAAACACCCTTTTAGGGAAAAAAAAATCACCCTTTTAGGAAAAAAAAAAAAAAAATCAATCTTCCTGACCCTAAATGTGACAGGCAAAGTTTAGTAAATGCCAAGAGAAGATATAAACCAATGAGGCGACCAAGGAAAAGGGACAGAAAGGACCGCGCCAGAGGTGAGGTGAGTGCGACAGAGAGAAAGGTGAATTCTCATCTCCACACTGTGGCGTCTCGTCTGAGATCTTCACCCTGCTCTGATCTTTCTCTTTTCTCAGTCCCATGTTCCCTTCCTCCCTCCATGCCTCCTTTCCTTCCTTTCTTGTCTCTCTCTTTCTCCCTTCTCCCTCACCTTTCTCTTCCTTTCTATGACACACATAGAGGAATGTAGAGTATCGCCTGAAACTAAATGCTATATGATCAGCATTTAAATAAACAAACAAATTATAGAGGGGGATATAAAGAAATGACAAAGCAAATTGTAGGCTAGCTCTGAAATAAGGACTGTCATGTAACTTCATGCATATACATGATGGCAATTCATGTTTTCATAGACGTTACAGATTCAACATTTCAAATCCTTGGAGATTTATTGTAATACTACTCAAATAATATAAACTCTTGATCTTTCTAAATGCAAATTAACTACAATAAAAGGCAATGACAGGCCTGTTTCCAAGCACTCATGAACTTCCTCTCCACAACAAAGCTAGTACTCACAGGGAATGCGAATAACTTGTATTCTCTTTTAGAGTTACATATTGAAATATTTATCAATGAAATTACATGATGTCTGGGATTCTCTTCATGATCACTGGAGATGTGGGAAGAAAAGTAATATGGAGTAGTACAAAAATAAAACAGACTAGCAGGGCGCGATGGCTCACGCCTGTAATCCCAGCACTTTGGGAGGCTGAAGCGGGTGGATCACCTGAGGTCAAGAGTCTAAGACCAGCCTGGCCAACACAGTGAATCTCCACCTCTACTAAAAACACAAAAATTAGCTGGCTGTGGTAGCAGGCGCCTGTAATCCCAGCTACTTGGAAGGCTGAGGCAGGAGAATTGCTGGAATCCGTGAGGTGGAGGTTGCAGTGAACCGAGATCGCACCACTGCACTCCAGCCTGGGTGACAAGAGCAAAATTCCATTCCAAAAATAAAAAATAAATAAAATAAAACAGACTAGACATGATATTAAATCAGTGAAGACAAGAGATTAGGGTTCATTACCTGATTCTATCTACTTTGTAAATGTTTAAAGTTTTCCATAACAAAGTTTTAAAAATATATCACATACTTCCACCAAAAACACTAAATACATTTTTAGAATATCATAAATGCATGCCAAAGCCATTCGATTACACAGTATCATTAAGGCCCTAGTTGACAGTATATTAAAATGTAAACACTTCAGTAGGAAGCAAAAGAAAAAAAAGGAAAGAAAAGAAAAAACCAAAACGCAAACAGTAAGAATTTTTTCTTAATTTAAATATCAATATGCAGTTTGATTATATTAACTCAAGAGAACTTTCTGAAAGTGCAAAATATAACAAAATTTTAAGTTTTCGTAATGCTGACATGAAGCAAACAATTTTACTGAAATCTAAAATGCAAACTTTGTGGTCTTGGATTCTTTCATTGCAGCCCAACCTAAGACAATATCTACCCTTCCTCCCAAGAATATAAAGTGCCAGTTAAAACACTAGCCAGTTTTAACAGTGGAGAAAAATGAGGCATGGTAAATTTTGATTTTAAAATCAGAAATTTGATACTGAAGGGTTCTATGATTTTCCCCAAAAGTGAATGTTAATATTATGCACATATTTTTGAATTTATAAGCAAGTCATGTTCTTCAGTAACTGATGCATCAATTAGGATGGAAGTTACTTTAAATAACAATAAAGAGAAGTATACAAATGCTGTCTATAAAAACTAATCTCCTTGAAGCTCCAACAATTTATACATATTTTTGGCACACGTATATGTCCAACATTTGTGTCACAGCTTTCTCAAAATAGACCTAAAAAATTCTCATCCTGTTTGAAGCTGCCAAAATGTGAAATACAGAAATAAAAGTTTTCAATCCTAAAGAAGTAAAGACAGAATAACAAATCACAAGATACACACTGACACTCCTATTCTCAGGACACGAAAAAGATTTCAAAAAATGCCTTCTGTTACTGCTTCAGTGAAAACCCATTGTTTTTTCATGTTTCACTTCAGTTACTTAGTAAATTCTTTCATAATGAAACTATATATATTATATTAATACAAATGGTAATACTTTGAAAAAAATTATAAAATTTTTTTGCAAAATACATTTTGTATATACACTGGAATTAAAAGTAGAAATAGATTGCTTAACAAACATTATCACGATGTCTGATCAGTATTAAAAAGGACTACGGCTCACTTTTGCTGTTTGCCTAAAACTACTAAAAAGGAAAGTCTATTAAAAAAAAAAAAGACTCCAGCTGCACACAGATGGTATTAATACTGCTTTTCTGATACGGCTATATTAATAGAACTACTTAATAATAAATAATAAGTAGAGTTAATAGTAGTTAAGAAAAAGATCCTTTTCAAAATATTTCGGTATGATATAGAAAAAATAAAAAATTTAGTATGTTTTATAAAAATCTCTTACTGGTTCTGCAGATGGGCATATATTTTATCATTCTAATATCAGAGGTTAACATAGCCATATTCTTTATCTTCCTGTGTACCCACTTTTAAAGATTACTTCTAGGAAGTATCTTGATTTAACATAAGTTGAATAAAGAAATTACCTGCATGATATTTGGCTTTTTAAACTTAACAAGTAAGGTTCCTGTTAGTAACAATATTAATAACACTATCAATTTGATTCTCTTGATAAAATTTATAAAAATTCTAACTGCCAATTACTCTGTCCTGAATTTTAAAAAGAAAAAAAAAGAATTATGGTCAATATTTAGAATCCAGGCATAAAAGGCATCAGTACCATTTTTGAAATCTTTTAGGCCTCTAAAAAGAAAAAGGGCAGACACAGACAGTGCTCACGCTCCATAGTCTTATACTCATCTTGCTTTTCTTATTCTCATTTACCATGCCTGGTACCACTGTTCTATTCATCATCAGTAGCCTGTCTCATAACATAATCCTTTCTCATTCTCTCCAAAGAAGCACTTAATGCTTACCAAAATTTTCTTTTTCTTTTTTTTGACTTCTCCACTTTTTAATTTTTTTTAATTTTTTAAATTTTTTTTGCTTACCAAAATTTTCTAAACCATCTTCCAAGTGCACAAAATTAGTTAAGAACTCTTATTAGTTACAATCAGTAAGATCTTTTTCCAAGTTATAGGAGTGGGGGAATAAGGACCAAAGAAAACATACTGCTAATTTTGTCAAAAGATCCTAGCAATTTGGATGTTATGACTTCCTTTCAGATGAATTTAAAAAAAAAAAAAAGATGATCCCAGAAAAACTATAATTATTTTCTCTTTGTAACATAAATGATTCAACAGATAATTCAAGCCACTTTGTTCCTGAAATGTCTTATCTTTTTAATAAGTAACAGTAATGAAATTCCTATCTTTTGAAGAAAAAGGAAACACTCAACACCAAAAGGCAATTTTTACAAAGATAAATAACATTTTTTCCCCTAAGCCAAGGAACATCAGTGAGGTGTTTCTATTTGCCAAAGTGAAATTCCAAGTCTTATAACTAGTCACATTAGTTATCCAAAATTTCGTCACATGAGCAAAATATACTTCTGGTTATACTTCCTTGGCCTTTCACTTATAGCACCTATTGACTGCCCTATAATTTGTCAGGGGACAGGTCTGATTATTTTAGGCTATAATCTAACAAAAGCTTTATTTAAAATTTAGCAATTAACAATCTAAATTGTACTCAATATAAAATAATAAATTCTTCCATCAGGAATTTGGAAACCTTAATTCAGTTAAGATTCTAAATTATGTTAAGTTAAATAACATTTTAGACTCCCTTCCCATCCCTGTTCAATTTCTGGCACATATTTACGCTACTAATTAACTGGTAGTTTTAAGGCAGTGCTAAACTAGGTTTTATGTCAAGAATGTCTCTGATAAACCTACAACTCTAAGAAATTAATGTGATTCCACAAAGAAGGTTGTTTCATATTTCATTGCAGAAAAAAATCAAGCCTTCAAAGCAGCTAAGACACAGCTAGCACCCACTTAAAAAGTCATCAAAAAAATGATAATTAAAACTGTATTTAACAAGGAGGGGAAACTAAGGTTTGAGAAATAAGATCTTATTTAACCTGTCAGTGGGGAGTAAAAAGGGCAGATTCAGGTAATTCCCTAAATTCGTTTTTTATAGCTATTCTCTGTCCCATGTGTAAGCAATGTAGCTAAAAGGACTGTCTGTGCTACCTTTTCTGAGTAGAGTTGGCCCCTTAGACATTAAGCTTCAAAACATCTTAAAAGATGACAACAAAAATCTTATTTACACTCTAACATATTTAAACCTGTCTTCTGAAGCATTACATCTCCTTTTTTGCCCGAGGTTAAAAACAAAAAACAAAAAACAGTGATCTAAGAGTTAGACAGTGTAGAATCTAATTAGATCTATCCGCTTGAGTTATTTGGGCCTTGGTTTCTTATCTGTAAAAGGGTTTCGGCCAAACCACCTTCCCCAGGTGGTGTCCTGTGGCATGTCAGGTTCCTGAGACACTCTCTAAAAAGT